AAGACGGCCCGGCGGACAGCACCGGGATGCCAGAGGACCTTAAGAGCTCCCGCACGAGGCAGGCTGGAGGGGCCCAGAGTGGGCAGCCAGCCCCGCTGAGGGCTGGGCCGGGCATCTGGGGGCGCAGCAACCCACTGCTGGTTGTGGTCCAAGGCGGGCAGGCAGCAGCCAGTGGACTGACGCGCAGGGGGCGGTGCTGCCACCCCGAAGCCCGACGCATCCATGGGGGGGCGTGGTGTCGTGGACCCCCAAGGAGCCGCTGACCGCGGCTGAAGAGTGGGAGGAGGTGCCGTGCCCGAAGTCTCAGCTGCTCCTCGCGCGAATCCAGGGTCGCGGAAACCGCCGCACCGGGCTGGGCGAAGACGAGGGGGGGCGGGGCGAGCGCGGGGGGGGGGAGGCAGACGGTCCTTGGCCGACAGCACCGGGGCGCAGGGTACCTTGAGCCCCGCGGGTCCCTCCCCGCCAGGGGGGGCGACGGGGCAGGCACCCAGGGGCATGGCCGCTGGACAGGGGCACGCGGGATCCTTCACAGCCAGCGCGGTGCCGCGACGTGGGGCCGCCACGGCTGCTGCGGGGAGACGACCAGCCACTGTTTTTTGCCCTTCCTGGGTGCGTGGGTGTCCGGGTGGCCCTTGGCCGCATGGTGATCCCTGCTCGCTCCGCCGCTTCGACCCGGGTGCTGATGCCGCAGCCGTGCCCAGTCGACTCCAAGGCCCAGCGCGTCGCTGACGGCCCGTGCGTCGCACTTGTGGCTACGGAAGGAGTCCAGGCAGCGAAGGCAGGTTTGCGGGTCGCGCCGAAGCGGGTCGAGCGCGCCTTTGCTGCCAGGCACGGCCTGCTGCTTAGCAAAAGCGTGCCAGGTGCCTGTGAACATTGCCCCCGGGGTGACTTGGGGCCGCCCCATCGCCTCGCCGGGTGTCTCCCCGGGAAGGTCCCACTGGATGTTGCCGATCTTTGCTCTGTACAACTGCTGTCCCGTGTCGAGGTCAGAGGGCTCTGGCCATTGGCGCGGCTCTGGCCATTGGCGCTGCCGCGTGTTCTGGCCGCAAGTCTCCGGCGAACCGGCCCCGCTGTCCTGGCCAGAGGGCTCGCAATCTGCTCGCGACAGTTCCGGTTGCACGCCTGGCGTGGCCCTGCGGGGAGATGCGGGCCGCATAGTTGGCCGCCAGGCAGGGGCCGGATCGCCCCCGGCAGCCCGGGCGGACGCTGCCCTGCGGTGCGCGGGGAGAGGCCCCTTTCGCCGGCATTCGCCTTTGGGCCTGTGCCCGCCGTCGATCACGGGTGCGCCCGCTTCGGTCAACGCGGGGCTCTCGCTGGTCTCGGGGGCACCGCTGGTCGCGCCAGGAGCTCGCACGTGCGGCGACGCCGTTTCCGTTGCCAGAGCACAAAATTCTTTGTCAGTCGTGCCATGTGCGTCTGGAGGGAGCGCCCGAGGTTCGCCGCCCGTCGGGGCGGGTTCACTGGCAGGGGAAGGGGGGCGAATAGGCGCGAATGGGGCTTCTCCCGACGAGCCGGCGGATGGCTTCGATGTCCTGCGTCTGACCGGCTGGTCCGTGGCCCCCCTGCTGGATCTGTGGCATTCCCAGAGGACTGCTGACGGTCTGCTTATTTTGTGGAGAAGGTGGGGGTGGCACGATGTGGCAGGCGAGCCCCTGCTGGTGCAGGATCTCGCTTACCGGACTGTTGCGGCTGTCGTCCGCACTTTCGGGGGCCAGCCCCTGTCCACCTGGTCTGCTCCAAGGGCGCGGGTGGCGGCTTGTGCCTCTTCTGCACCTTCAAAGGCCTCCGCCGCTTCGGGCCCCCGATACTCCGCGGCCTCCGCCGCTTCCGCCCGTTCTGCCGCGGCCTCCCTCTCCTTTTCCCTGCCATGCTGCTGCTGCTGAGGGAGCAAGGGTACCTCCTTATGACCTTCGGAGGGAGTGTCTTGAGGTGTCGTGGGGCCCTTGTCACCAGGGGTGCCGCTGACGGCCGTCTGAGCTGTTGTGGGTCTCTGTTCGCCAGGGGTGCCGCTGGCTGCCGCAAGAGTGCTTGAAGACTCTTCGCCTGTGTCTTCTTGCCCAGTCTGCTGGCCGTCAGGGGTGCCAGGAAGGGCGTCAGGGAGCGGGGGTACCTCCTTCCGACCCGTTCCGTTCCCTTCCCCTGTGTTCTTCTGCTGCTGCAGCACCTGTAGCTGCTGCTGCGGCTGTGTTTGCGGGCGCTGCCGCTGTTGCTGCCGCTGCTGCGGCTGCTGCTGCTGCTGCTGATGCAGCTGCTGGGTCATGTTGCTGCTGCTGCTGCTGCTGTTGCTGCTGCTGCTGCTGCAGCCCTGCTGCTGCGGCTGCTGCTGTTGCCGCTGTTGCTGCTGCAGTTGCTGCAGCTGCGGCTGCTGCTGCAGGTGCTGCTGCTGCGGCTGCTGCTTCTGCCGCTGCTGCTGCGGCTGTTCTTGCTGCTGCTGTTGCTGCTGCCGCTGCTGCTGCTGCTCCTGCAGGTGCAGCTGCAGCGGCTGTTGCTGCTGCTGCTGCTGCTGCTGCTGCTGCTGCTGCTGCTGCTGCTGCGCGGCCCAAGGGCGGCCGCGCGGGCGGGCCGCGGCGGCCGCGGCGCCGGCCGCGTGGCCCGCGGCCGCCGCGGCGGCCGCCTCCGCCACGGCGGCGGCGGCGGCGGCGGCGGCGGCGGCAGCCGCGGAGCCGGCGGCCGCAGGGGCGGCGGCGTTGCCGGCCACCGAGCCCCCAGCGGCGCCGCGGCGCGGCGGCGCCCGCGGCGCCCGCGGCCCCCGGCGGCGGCGGCGGCGGCGCCAGCGTCGCGCCCGGCGCCCGCGGCGCCGGCGGCGCCGGCGGCACCGTGGAGAGGCAGCTGCTCCTTCCTCCAACGCAGGGCAGCCGCTCCACGCTGCCGTCTGCGTCGTGCCGAGGCAGTCTCAAGGGACTGCGCCTGAGGTGCGTCGTCTGTACCGCGGCCCGCCCGCGTCGGCGGCCGGCCGGTGGCCTCCGGAGGCGGCCAGCCTGCGGCGGCCTGTTAGGCGGCCCTCGGCCGCGGCGTCGCCCCGCCGAGGGAAGCTGCGGCCTCCGCCCACTGGTCAGGGGGGCGCCCTCGGCCCCGTTGCTCTCCTGCCTGCTGCCAGCGGCCGGAAGAGCCTGCGGCAGCGCGCCCGTTCCAGTCCCACGAATGCAGAGCCATCGCGGCCAAGAAATAGCAGCCCCGGCAGGCACGCACCTGAAAGGGGGCGTGCTCGAGCCGAGATTGCTTGAGCCAAGGCTACGCGAAACGTCCAGAATACCCAAAAATCGTCCCCAGACTAGTTTAAAAACTAGGTTGAATGTTCCTCCTGTTGAGGGACGTGCCCGACTGAACTCTTGACGGAAGCGGGAGCTGGACGCTCAAGGACCTTTCCGAAGCGGTCTTCCATCCAAGGCCTCTTTTTGACACCAAAGCCGAGAAGGGGCCCCAGGAAACCGAACACGCTGAAAACCCTCCAAGCCCCCTTTTCCTCAAGATCCTTTCCGGTCATGGCGACTCTCCTCCTCCTTCTCCTCCTCCTCCTCCCCCTCCTCCTCCTCCTCCTTCTCCTCCTCCCCCCCCTCCTCCCCTACAGCTGGATAACATGAATACTACTCTCCTCTCTCCCCTGATGACGTCCGGAAAATGTTCGGCCCACCTACGCGTACTGTTCTTTTACACGGAGGATTCCCGGGAGTTGGGTTTTCGCTTGGGCTGGTTTTTAAAGTTTTGCTCCCGCTGGAGCGCTGGCCTCATTTTCGGGCTCCCGCTCGTTCCGAATCGTGCTCCAACTGCAACGCTGGCCTCATTTCCGCGCTTCCGCTCGTTCCGAATCGTGCTCCCACTGCAGCGCTGGCCTGATTTCCGCGCTTCCGCTCGTGCCGAATCGTGCTCCCGCTGCAGCGCTGGCGTCATTATTTTCAATGACATGCCACGGCATGCAATGCAATGCTATGTGGTGTTCCAAAGTGCGATGCCATGTCTTCAGCTGCAATGCTAGGATATGCAGTGCTTGACTACGCAATGCCACGCCATGCTATGCCGTGCTACGCTTTGATCTTCATCGCCGTGCCATGCCATGTTCTGTTCAGTGCCGCACTGCGATGCCATTATTTGCGTTGCAACGCTTTGTGATGTAACTCTTCACTACGCAACGACACGCCATGCATACTACGTTCTGTCGCGCTCTTCTACGCCCTGCTATGCCGTGCTCTACGATGCATCGCGCACCCTCTCGGGATCATTGCCCTGCTCGACATCCGACTGTGCGAACGGAGGGGAGATCTACGCTATGGTAAGGGATTGGAGGGATGGGTAGGACGCCAGAAATGACGCGAGCGCACCTAGCTTGTCCCTCCCTCCTCCGCCTCCGCCTCTTCCCTCCTCCTCAACCTCCTCCTCCTCCTCCTCCTCGATCCTCCTCCTCCTCCTCCTCGATCCTTCTTCTCCTCCTCCTCGATCCTCCTGCTCGATCCTCCTCCTCCTCCTCCTCGCCCCTTCTCCCTTCTCCCGTAGCCATTTTGGCTCAAGATGGCAACCTGGGGGGCTGTCCAGCCTCCAGGCCGAAGGGGGACCTCTGGACCGAGGACAGTTCCCAGACGGGCGTCGGGCGCGCGCGCGGCACTGCTGCAGCCATGGGGAGTGGCGGCGGCGGACGCGGGGCGGGCAGCGCCTGGTCGGGGACCCCGAATCGCCAGAGAGTGCCCCCGTGGAAGAGGAGCAGCAGTGGCAGTCGCCCTCCTCGCAGCAGCTACGTGGTGTGCGACGGGTGCAGCAGATGGCGCTACTGCAAGAACATCACCAGCAGGGGCGACCTCTGCATCTGCGGCAAGAATATCGCCTGCCTCGTCCCTGACGGACACGTTTTCCGTGACGAGGATGGTGGGTGGGTGGCAGCACAGCCCCAAGGAGGAACCTCGCCCAGGATCAGCTGGGCAGACGGTTGGCAGCCAGGAGGCGGTGCAGGCGGGAAAGGGCAAGGAGGCCAACGCCAGCCACCACCTCACGACAATACCGCCGTTCTCAAGGCCGCAGCCGCAGCAGCATACAGCAAGCTCAGCAAGGACGACCCGCTCAGGCAGCACTACGAGGCCCTCTGGCCAGAGCTCGCCGCAGCCAAGCCACCAGCAGATCAACCAGTCGTCGGTTCCAAGGCAGCGGAGGCAGCAGCTCGACGCTTGGACAAACTCCAGAAGAAGGTACGATCGGCAGGGGAGCAAGTGGAGAGTGCCCAGCAGTATTTGGCTGAGAGTGAACGCAAGCTTCGTGAAGCTATGGAAGCCTCCATTGCAGCAGAAGATGAGTTCGACAAGCTCAAGGCCACAGCCGACAAGCAAGAGGCACCAGCCGAACCCGCAGCCGAGAAGCCAACGCTGGCAGCCCTCCTGGAGCAGTTCGAGCACGAGCCTGACGACTTCCACAAGTGGTCCGAGCCCGACAAGGAGGTCTGGCGAGCTGCAAAGGCCAAGGGCGAGCGCATGGCCCAGACGGTCAAGGAGCACGAGGAGGAGACGGCGAAGCACCTGCGACTTCTGGAGGAAGAGACGGCCAGGCACCAGGAGCAGCTGCGCCAGCTCGAGCAGGCCCGCACCAAGCGCCTGTCAAAGAGCGGAGAGCAAGACCCAGAAGCAGCAGAAGCCCCACCAGGCAAGCGTGTCTGCGCTGCCAGCCCAGCCCCTCAGCGAGGTGCCACCACAGGCGCTGAGGCAGCAGGGTCAGCTGCCGCGGCTGCGCCTAACGGCGCCGCAGCAGCTGCCCAACCAGAAGCAGGTGCAGCAGAACATGACAAAGCAGAGGAACGCCGAGCTAGAGTGGAGGCCCACATCCAGGAGGCGCGAGAGAAGGTCTCGCAGGCCAGGCGCGCCGAGACAGTCGTCGACGCAGAAGGGCAAGGTGACCACTCAGCAGGGTAGCCGCCCCAAGGCGAGCGCGAAGAAGGCTCGCCGCCCTTACCACATCGACTTCTTCAATGTCACGACCTGGGGCACCCAGGCACAGGGCTACCTCATGGAGATCAACGACACCAAGGACAGGGACATCATCGGCATCGCGGAGCACCACCTCCGCCAGCCTGCGCAGATAGGCAAGGCAAGAGCGGCGCTCAGGAGGAATGGCACGCACAGCTACTGGACCAAGGCACGGCCAGGAGAAGGATAAGGCACTCGAGGAGGAACGTGTGCCATTACGCGAGGATCCTTGGACGTCCAGGACAGGATCGCGGGCTTCGACGAGCACTACCTGCACGAGGACGGCAGCGACGTCACGGTGGTGATTTCCAACCTGCACAAGGTCCGCTTCGCAGTGGCCTTCGTCTACCTTGAGTGTGGGACGGGCTTTGGAGAGAGGAACGTCGACATCCTCTGCGACCTGCGGGAAAAGATGGCCGTCTGGGGAGGGCCATGGGCAGCGCTTGGGGACTTCAACATGACGCCGTCGGAGCTCAACAACAGCATCTGGCCCAGGGTGCTGAATGCTCAAGTAGCAGCGGCGGGGGATGGCGCCCCCACGTGCTTCCCAGCAGGAGGCGAAGCCAGGTGCATCGATTTCGCGCTGATCTCGCAGGGACTGGCGCCGTATTTTGACCAGCTAGAGCTGCTCAGGACCGTGCCGTGGAAGCCGCACATTGGCATCCGCTTGAAGCTGAGAGGGCGGCCTCTAAAGCTCAAGGGCAGGGTACTTCGCAGGCCAGCAGCCATAAAGCCACCAGTCGCAGTTGAGAGAATGCCGAAGTCCAGAGCCGCTTGCAGGCGAGCGGCGCGAGGAGGCCAGGAGGCCATGCGTCGACGTCGGCAAGCGTTGGCAGAGGCAGGATGCGACCAGGAAGAAAACGACATGGAGCCAGTGCCGCAGCTGTACTACGACAAGGAGGCCCAGCACGTCATCCCTGACGAGCTGTGGCAGGCCACCTCCGAGAGGGTCAGCTTGCGTGTCTACGACGAGTTGCCCCAGCACTTGCAGCACACTGTCGTCGGCAAGATGATGGAGCGGGACATGCTGGATCTGGGGCAACAGTACGACCACTTCGCTAGCACACTCGAGCTCAGCCTGTGCGAGAGCATCGGCATCCCAGAGGAAGAGCGAGGACGTCATCTCGGGCACAGCAGGCCCCCGAGCTACAAGAGCGTGAGCATCAAGGACACCGTCACCTCTACGCCACGGGCAGGGGTTGAAAGGAAGATCCATGCGTGGTGGGCGGAGATCTCCTCCTTGGTGCGGCAGCTCTCGCACCACGATGCCCGAGCGCAGGAGGCAGCGGCAAGTCGACAGGGCAAGACCCATGCACTTCCCGATGAGGACTCGGGAGGAGGACAGGGCCTGTTGGAGTCGGAGCTTGGCCCCGTCATGTCGGGCAGCCAGGAAGGCCATGAAGAAGGCGACCCTGCACCAGCCTTGAGCCCATCGAAGAGCTCGGGAGGAAGCTCGGTGGAACGCTCCCCCACCGAGTGGGGCAAGGGCCCCCCCGAGCTGCAGCAGCGGAGCGCAGGCAGTGGAGGCGCAGCAGGAGGCGTCCCAGACCTCCACGTGGGGCAAACCCACAGCACCGCAGACAGCTGCCCAGAAGGGATGCAGAGGGGTGCCCTTCCCCCACCAGCAGGACGCAACACCATGGACATCCAAGATCACGACCCCTTCGAGGATGAGGAGGATTACTTGGAGTACCGCCAGGAGATCGCAGACCAGGAAAACAGCGATGGGTACCACCAGCACATCGAGGGGCAGCAGGCCAGCCTCGAGTCCAGCCAGACCGCTCGCCGTCGAGCAGATGGACCTGATTCTCACCCACCAGCAGGACGCTGCACCATGGACGTCCAAGACCACGACCCCTTCGAGGAAGAGGAGGACCGCTTCCAGAACCGCCAGGAGACCGCAGACCAGGAGGACTGCGATGGGTACCACCAGCGCATCGAGGGGCAGCAGGACGGCAACAGCTACGGCCAGACCGCACGTCGTCAGGCAGCTGGATCTGGTGAAACCGCCCCAGGTGACACGCACTGCTCACCTCCTCAGCCAGCTGGCACTCTGGAGGCAGAGGGTACCGATCACCTGAGGAGTCAGAACCAAGCGCCGCCAAGCCCAGAGGCAGATGAGCAACGAGATATGGGCCTGCCCCCTTCAGACCCCTGGAATGACGACCAACACCAGCGGGAGCGGGAAGACTACGTGGCCATGAGAGACGACCTGGAGTACTGGGCGGCCATCTGGATGGATAACTTGGTGCAGCTCCCCACGGACAACAGCAACTGGAGGCAGATCTGTGTGCCGTTCCTGGAGACCATCCTGGGAGGCGGAGGCAACAATGGCATGGTGAGACTGCTCAGGCGTAGGTACCAGCAGGCCGGCCCCAGCCACATCATCAGGGACCTCTGCGAGCGAGCATGGAGACATGCAGAACCACGACGCCGAGGCTTTCTCCAAGGACTTGCGCGAGAGGTGCCGACGAGGAGGCACGAATTGGAAATGATGCACTGGAGGGAGCTCGCAAACCTGCGGAGGTTCATGCGAGAAGTTATAGGCGAAAGAGCACCAGAAGGAGCAGCGCGAAGACAACTACATGATGCTCCAGGTACAGGCAGTGGCCAGAGTAGCCGCCGAGAGCAGCAGGTCCGCACCCACAGTGGCCGCCAGACGCAGCAGCAGATCAACACAAGACAGCAGCTTGCGCAGCAGCTCAACCAGCCTGACCCAGGCAGGCTGAACGATGAAGGTGCAGCCAAGGACCAGCAGCAGGCCCTCCTCGCAGACCTGCACGCGATAGCAGAGGGCGCCCTCGTGGATCCAGGGACGATCAGCAGGGTAGCAGAGGAGGTAAAGAGCATGGCCAAGCTACTCACAAAGGCGGTGAAGAAGGCGTACATCCACTGGGTGCACGACGCCACGGCAGGCAGTGCGAAGATGGCCCACGCCTACACCAAAGCAGCGGAGCGCAGCCATCTGGAGGACATCCTAGAGCACGAGGGCCAGGTCATCAACCACCCGCAGCAGCTGGTGGACTTGCGCAAAGAAGCATGGCAACGCAGGTGGACACGAGATGCGCAGAAGGCCGAGAGGATCCAAGAGGCGCTGGCCAAGCTGAGGCAGGCTGCCCTGGCCCAAGAGAATGCCCTCGAGCCCATCAGCAAGGACATCATAGGCTCCATCATCCAGCACCTGAAGAGCAATGCAGGCCAAGGAGCGGACTGGTGGAGGGCTCCAGAGCTCAAGGCCATGGGCGCCCAGGGGCTGGAAGATTTCGTGCAGTGCCTGACCAGCTGTGAGCAACGGGCAGCCTGGCCGTGGCAATTCTACCTGGTGCTGGAACTGCTGCTGGGTAAGAAGCCAGGAATCGGGGGAGAGCGGCCCATCGGCCTCATGCCCATGCCGTACCGCATCTGGAGCGCAGCCAGGAGGCCCATAGTAGCCACCTGGAGCAAGGCAGCGGCGGGCTTCTGGGATACGGCAGTAGCTGGCTCCTCAGCGCTACGAGTGGCAATGCACAGACTTATGAGGGCAGAAGCCGCCACGGAGATGGGCTTTCATGCAGCAGGAGTGTTCTACGACGCGGCAAACTTCTACGACAACATAGGCCTCGACCAGCTGATCGAGAAGGCCAGTGCCCTCCAGTACCCGTTGCTGCCGCTGGCAATGGCCGCGCAGATGTACCTTGCGCCCAGGGCCATCATGGCCCACGGCCTCTTCTCGGACATCTTTGAGCCTGCCAGCAGCATGGTAGCAGGCTGTGGCCAAGCGGTAGACCTCACCAGACCGCTCCTGTATGGAATCCTGGATGCAGCGCACAGGCACCACATCTTCGTCGTCATGCAGCAGTACCTGGACGACTTGGCCATGCAGGTAGAAGGCGCGCGGCGGCAGGTCATTGACCAGATCAAGCACGTGGCGGCGCTGGTGCACGATGGTTTCAAGCAGCTCGCGATCCCCATCTCTGTCAAGACGGCAGTGGTGGCCTCGGACAAGGACCTCCAGGCAGAAGTCGCCAGCATCCTGGACAGCCTGGGCACCCCCAACAAGCAACCAGGGGTAGTGCGCGACCTCGGCGTGGACACCAGCCTTGGAAAGCAGCTGCGGCGACCCACCCATGCCGCGCGCCAGGCCAAGGCCAAGCAGAGGGTGGCCAAGCTCAGGGACCTGGCGAAGACGGACGCCAGAGGCGCGGCAAAGGTCTATGCAGCAGGTGCCTACTGCCAGCAGGCTTGGGACTTACCAGCGCACGGCATCACGCCCACGGAGGCGAAGTTGGTCAGGGCAACGGAGGCAGCGCTCCTCACAGGCGGACACAAGGCTGGACGCTGCACGTCCACCATCCTCCTGATCCAGAGGGGTATGCAAGAGGCAGTAACCCGAGCCATCGGCGACCAGATCAAGCAGTTCTGGCTCACCGTAGTCGACCACCCGACGGAGCTCAAGAGGTACCAGAGGGGCTGGCTCCTGCTCTACGCCAAGCTGGGCGCCCTGGAACCCAACCGCAGGTGGCAGCAGGTCAAGGGGCCTATGGCAGGGGTCATTGTGCAGTTGCTTGGGTTAGGCTGGATACCGCGACGCCTGGACAGCTGGATCAGCCCAGCAGGTGAAGAGTGGGCCTACAAGCCAGATGACATTCCCACTTCGGCGCGCTCCTGCATGAGGTCCAGCAGAGCGCGCAGCAGCAGCTCTGGCAGCAGGCAGCTGGCCATCGCAGTGGAGAAGGACTTCAGGCTGGAGGCGACCTCTATCAGCTGCAGCGCCACCTGAGAAGAAGGAGGCGTAAAGGACAGCATGCAGAGGCAGCCATGCTGGAGACCATAGCGGTGGCGGGCATCTGGACCAGGGAGCGTCGCAGGGCGGCCAACCTCAACCAAGAAGGCGATGACACCTGCGCGAGATGCGGCGAGGCGACAGAGACAGAGGAACACCGCTACTATGCATGCCCTGCCAACGCAGAAATAGGGCACAGCAATGGCACCGACCTGGCGAAGAAGGCGAAGGACGCGCTGGACCAGCGGCAGGACCAGCATTTCTGGCTCCGAGGCATCCCGCCAGCGGCCTGGGCAGCCAAGGTCGACCCAGACGAGGACGCGGCGAAGGCGGCGCAGATCTTCTGCACCAGCGAAGAGGCACAAGCTGCAGCCCAGGCAGGGCACAAGGTGCGAGCAGACTATGTTTTTACGGACGGCTCAGGTGGTGCAGGGGAAACGGCCAGGGACCCCCGCCTCAGACGCTGCGGCTGGGCAGTGGTGGCATTCAGGTTCGACGAACAAGGGCGTCCGCAGGAAGTGGCTGCCTGGTATGGCACAATCAGGGCACCGCACACGGTGCCACGGGCAGAGCTCACCGCCATGAGCAAAGCCATCGGGTACACCACGGCGGCGACAGCCAGGGGGCTCAACATAGTCAGCGATTGCAAATACGCCCTGGACGCACTCAAGCAGATCCAGGACCCTGAGGCTCTGGACTACAGGAGCACGAACTACGACCTCTGGCTCCAGACGAAGCAGCAGCTGCAGAACAGCACGGACACCATCATGGGCCACCACATCCCGAGCCACCTGATTGAGCACCCAACCGAGCTGGAGAGGTGGAATGGTCCCACCTGGTGGGTCATAGGTAATGAGATGGCAGATAAGTGCGCAGGCTGGGGGGCGGAGCACGGAGCACTGGATCCAGCTATCATCGTGCAGCAGCAGATCAGAGACCAGATCACCATGGCGGTGCAGAACCGGCTGCTGGCCATCAACATGGCGGTGACGGTGGAGGACCCCAACAAGGCCCCTCAGCGTCCCAAGGCCAAGCGGCGAAAGCCGCAGACGGCGAGGGACAGGGCAGCCCAGCAGGGACACGACCTGCGAAAACTACATCCGCGATGGTGGTGTGCAACGTGTCGCAGTGGCCCAGCCAAAGGACAAAGCATCAGAGACTGGTTGGCAGAGACGGGAAAATGCCTCGGGAAGTACGGCGGCCACCAGGACCAGCACGGCAACGTCAGGCTCGACTTCAAGGCGGTGCAGATCGGCACGCAGGTGGTGCACGGCTCCCACAAGACGCAGTACACCCATGGCTGGCTCTGGTGCGAGAAATGTGGCGGCACCAGCTACCTTGGGGACCACAAGAGCAGGATCGTGGCAGGAGTGGCAAGGAAGCTGGCAAGGCCATGTCAGCCCCCAACAGCAGCAGGGCGGCGAGTCTTGGAGGACATGCAGAGGGGCAAGCTGCCTAGAGGAGCTAAGCCAGCAGCAGACCCAGCTGATGAGGGTCTCGACGAGATCACCATGCCAGGTGAATTCAAGCTCGGCCCGAGTAACCACGAGGTGATCGACCTGGACGGGGACAGCTCAGTGGCAGGGGGCCCGCAGCCAGCTCCGCAGCAGCCACCCAGCCATCCGTACTCTGTCGTCCACGCCAGCTTGAGGCTCGTCGACCACATGGAGGGCTACGCAGAGCTGTGGATGAACATGGTCGACCAAGAGGTCTGGGACGATATGGACGACTGGATGGAGCACTGCGTGCCGTACCTCCTGGCCATCACCAATGTGGGTGGCAGAACGGACACGCAAGAGCAGACCAGGGCCGTCACCGTGCAGGAGATCCAGCAGATAAAGGACTTCTGCGAAGAAGTCTGGCGCAACACGCACCGCACGCGACGGAGGCTCATGACCAGGATGCTTACCCTCCCGCATGGCACAAGGCAGCAGGCAGCTAGAGTGCACATGGACGCCTTCCACAACAGAAGGAACAACATCATAGCGCACAGCATCCCCAGCAGTGAGCGCAGGCCGCTGCCGAGAACAGCGGAGGCCAGCCGAGAGTGGTCACCAGAGAACCTGGACGATGATGACTCGACCCCAGACAGTGAAGCCCCAGAGCAGGAGGGTGAGCCGAGCAGCCAGGAGATGGAGGCCATGGCGGGACCTGATCAGAGGCACGACGCCAACAGCCTGATGCAGACGGCAGTGCAGGTGGCAGTAACGCTGACCAAGCCAGTGGGGCCCGACCTGAAGAAGTTCGTGAGCGAAGCTGACGAGGCCGGCTTGCTCCACCCAAGGCTACGACACAACAAAGGAGAAGCTGACCAGGACCCCGAGCAGGAGGTGGCGTGGCTCGAGAGGAACAGGCTCGAGCAGCTCATGCAGTCGCTGGCAGGCTGTTGGAGCCAGAAAGAGGGCGAGCTGGGCTGGCCATCGTGGCAGGCCGCGTGCGCGCCCCATGTGCTGAGGGCGCTGCAGACTGGCGTCTATCAGAGGCTTTTCAGCCACGTGTCAGGGGCGAGCCGCCAGCGCAGCCAGCGCCGAGCGGCGGAGGAGATCTGCCGCCTGGCATGGCTCAACAGCGGAGAGGAGCGCAGACAGATCCAGCAGCAGGACCCGAAGGAGGCAGAGCGGCGCAGAGCAACGGCTGAGCAGATCCCGGGCGTGACTGAGCCAGAGGTGAGGAGCCGCAGCCCGCGACCGCAAGCAGCAGGGCGAGTACCAAGCAGGGCTCCAGCCAGACAGCCGAGGAGGCCCCTGTGCGGAGAGGGGACAGGCCACCATGGACCCCTGCGCGGCGAGGGGTTAGGCCGAGGAGGACCCCAGCGTGGCGAGGGGTTAGGCCACAGCCCTGCGCCAGACGGGATGCAGAGGGGTGCCCGTCCCCCACCAGCAGGACGCAGCACCAAGGACATGGCAGACCTCGACCATTTCCCTGAAGAGGAGAACAGAGAGGATAGCCCCCAGCAGGCCGTAGACAAGCAAAGCAGCGATGACAACCACCAGCAGTTCCCAGATGTACAGCACAGCATAGGGTACCACCTGGCAGACCGCAGAGGACCCCAGCGTGGCGAGGGGTTAGGCCACGGAGGACCCCAGCGCGGTGAGGGGTTAGACCGCAGATCCAATGACAAGCAGAGGATCGAGGCGGAGGTCCCTGACGAGCCCAGTGAGCATGACGCGGACGTCTTGACCAACAGTGTGGTAGACAGGACCTCGCAACTAACAGAGCGGACCCATACCCTGGGAAACCGACAGACTGAACGCGAGGGGGAGGGCTTGGCCCGCGGATACCACGTGAACCGCGAACACAGCGAGTGGCATAGTCGGGGGACCTCGCCTGAGCCAGTGTGCAGCAGCACCGAGGATGGGGACAGTGCGAGACTCGGCGCTCCCCCGCGTGGCGAGGGGTTAGGCCACAAAACAGCGCAGCCTGAGAAGGCGGCAGACTACGACGACACAGACCTGCAGCGGGACTTGAATAAGATCGTCGGCGGCCCTCCCCAGCGCGGTGAGGGGGTAGACCGCAAGGCACCCCTGCGTGGCGAGGGGTTAGGCCACGGAAATCCCCTGCGCGGTGAGGGGGTAGACCGCAGGACCAAAGGCAAGCAGAGGCTTGAGGCGGAAGCCTATGACGTGCCCAGTGAGCAAAACGCGGACCTTTTGACCAACAGTGTGGTAGACAGGACCTCGCAACTAACAGAGCGGACCCAAACCCTGGGAAACCGACAGACTGAACGCGAGGGGGAGGGCACGGCCCGCGGATACCCCGTGAACCGCGAACACAGCGAGTGGCAAAGTCGTGGGACCCCGCCCGAGCCAGGGGGCAGCAGCACCGAGGAAGGGGACAGTGCGAGACGCGGCGTACCCCCGCGCGGTGAGGGGTTAGACCGCAGCAGGCCCCAGCGTGGCGAGGGGTTAGGCCACGGAGTACCCCAGCGCGGGGAGGGGTTAGACCGCAACGATCCCCAGCGTGGCGAGGGGTTAGGCCACGGAGGACCCCATAGTGGAGAGGGGTCAGACAGCAGCAGGCCCCCGCGTGGCGAGGGGTTAGGCCACAAGGGACCCCAGCGCGGTGAGGGGCTAGACCGCAACAGGCCCCTGCGTGGCGAGGGGTTAGGCCACGAAGCACCCCAGCGCGGTGAGGGGTTAGACCGCAGCAGCCCCCAGCGTGGCGAGGGGTTAGGCCACGATATTCCCCAGCGCGGTGAAGGGTTAGACCGCATTGACCCCCAGTGTGGCGAGGGGTCAAGCCACGATGGGCCCCAGCGCGGTGAGGGGTTAGACCGCAACAGACCCCAGCGTGGCGAGGGGTTAGGCCACAACGGAGCACCCCAGCGCGGTGAGGGGTTAGACCGCAACAGGCCCCTGCGCGGCGAGGGGTTAGGCCACGGAGCACCCCAGCGCGGTGAAGGGTTAGACCGCAGCAGCCCCCAGCGTGGCGAGGGGTTAGGCCACGAGCTTCCCCAGCGCGGTGAGGGGTTAGACCGCACCGACCCCCAGCGTGGCGAGGGGTTAGGCCACGGAGGACCCCTGCGCGGCGAGGGGTTAGGCCGCAACGCGCCCCAGCGTGGCGAGGGGTTAGGCCACAGCTCTGCGCCAGGCAGGGCGGTCGAGAAGGCCCATGAGTCCAGGGACCAGCAGCCAGGGCGGTCCCTGGAAGAGCGCAGAGCGGAGGAGCGGCTGCGGCCGTCCATCAGGCTGCTCCTCAAGCTCTGAGTGGGCAGCGGCAGCATTTCTTCAGACTGCCGCTGCTCACGGGGCGACTCCATGAGTCACAGAGTGGCGGCAGTAAGACGCCGTGAGATGAGGCCGCTGGCCCACCCCGCCTCGGGCAGTTCTGCCTGCGCGGAGTGACGAGACCAGGGGCACCCACTCACGGGCGGGAACACGCGGGTTCAAAGTCCCTTCTCCCTTCTCCTCCTCCTCCTCCTTCTCCTCCTCGTGCATTCTCCATCGCACCCGCTTTTTCGATGGCGATGCGTTTCGGACTCCAGGTCCTCTCCTGGGCCAGGCACTCTGCAATGTTCAAGCACGCGTACCGTGCTGCGCGCGGGTCAGGCAGCCAGAGGTCGAGAGCACGATGATCTGCTACATGTGTTTCTTCGCATTCGTTTTCTGTAGTTCCTCAATTGCCTGACCTCAACCTCTTCTCTATCCTCAAGTGCAGTTCGACTGAATCATGCGGACGCGCGGTAAGAATGCAAGACACGTGGACGCCCCTGTTGACGCCGAAAGTGGAAACACATGGCCCATGGCTGAGGATAGGAAGGGCCCTCCTTCTCCTCCGTCTCCTCCCTCCTCCTCCTCGATCCTCCTCCTCGATCCTCCTCCTCCTCATCATGCTGCTGGCGGTCCTGGTCCTGCTGCGGCGCCTGGGGCCGCCGCGGCGGGTGCAGGCTCTGGCGCTTGGATCCCGTGCGGTGTCGCCGATGACCCCGTGGTGCTCAGGGCCTTTTTGCAGGCGGTCGGGATGCCCGTCCCTGAGGACGAGGGGGAGCTGCGCGACGCAGCCAAGCGGGTCGGTGACGGGCTCCAGAGCTTCGCGAAGAGGCCCACGACACAGTAGGATAGCGGCTTTAGTCTATATCGTCATGATGATGGCATCTCCCAGTGTGCACAAGGGCTCCGTGGGCCGCCCTCTCGAAGGGTCCACTTTCGTGGCCGGGGGCGCCTGCCCTGCTGCCAGCGGCGCCGCTGCAGGCAGCCCAGGGGCCTTGCCCGCCCCTTCCGCGGGGGCCGCCGTCCCCGCCGGTGCTGGGGGGGCTGCTGCGGGGCTTCCTGCTGAGGGCAGTGGAAGGTCACTGACGGCGGCGCAGGCCGGTGACTTGGCTGGGCCTGCTGAGGGCCATTGGAGGTCACCGACGGGGGGCTTGGTTGCGGCTTCGCCGGCCCCTCTGGCGGATTCCAAGGGTGTGATCACAACGGTTAACGTTTCCTCCTACGGCAAGCTGGAGGAGCTGCTCACGTCGAAGCAGTTCCAGTCGACGATCGTCTTCGCCCAGGAGCATCATGCGGGGCCTGACAAGGCGGCGGCTTTGCAGAGTCGCGTGGAGGTCCTCTGTCACCATGGCGTGTGGGGCACCGCGGTGGCCTCCACCACTTCAGACAGCAGTACCCAGGGCGGCGATGCTGTCTTGGCTCGGCGCGGCGTCACGGTGACGCTGTCCCCTGGCCGCGCTGATGGCGACATCGTCCCTGGGCGAGCGGTGGCGGGCCACGTTCACTGGGGAGTTGCCGGCGGCATCGTTTGTGTGTCGGTCTACCTCCACGACTCCGTGGGGCTCGCAGCCTGCAATTTGAGCATCCTGCAGGCGGTGGGTCTGTTCTTGATTGACATGACTGCCAAGGGCGTGGCCTGGATCGTCGCGGGCGACTTCAACATGGAGCCTGCCGTCATTGAGCCCTGGTTCAACTCGGTCGGCGCCGCGCTCTTGGCGACGGCCGAGACCACCTGCAGGCAGGCTCTCCCAGAGAGTAGGATTTCCTTCAGTGAACGAGTGCGCGACGACGTACCCGCACAGGCCCGCCGACCTGGAGGTACTGGGCAGCGACAGGGCCATGTGTTGCAGGGTCCCGTGGGAACCGCGCGCCCTCCCCGCCAGGCCAGCGCCTGGGTGCAGCCGGTACCCGCGGGACTGGGCGGCCGCTCAAGCCTCGATTGCGCCCGCGCAGACCGAGGCCGAGCTCAGCCGTGCATGGGACGACGTCCTGCAGGGCATCGAGAAGCAGCTCTGTGATCGCTACGATCTGGTCGGAGCCGCGGCCTCGGCGCAAATTGGCCGCGCTGGCCCTCCGAGGTGGCACTGGGTGCAGTACTGGTGGCAGCCGCCCCAGAAGCGGCCGCCTGTGCGAGGTGCGCCTGCGGACGCGTGGGCGGTCGCAGCCAGGCGGTGTCGCCACCTCCGCCGCGTTGAAGCCTGCCTGGCCCAGCAGATGCCCGCTCTGGAGGGGCAGGGCGCTCGCAGCTGGGTACAGGCTGACGTCCAGAGACTTGGCCAGCTGCTGTACGACACGGAGCGCTTCTTCGACAATGTGCTTCGCCAGCAGTGGGTTGTTCGCCCAATGGATCTCGCGGTGCGGCGTTTCTTCGAGCAGGGCCTGGCCGGGTTTGCCGACCTGCGCTTTGGCGACACGGTCGACTGGATCCTGCACCAGGCCGAGGTACAGGAGCAGGGCTTCGTCAAGGCTCGGGCGGCGAGCTGGAATGAGTGGGTGGCCTCCAGCTTCGTCAACGGGGCCTCAAAGGCCCACAAGTTCTCGAAGGCGCGAGCGCTTCAGCTGGCAGCCACAGCTCGCGCCAGTTCTCAACCCTTCGAGCTGATCGATGGCTGCATGGACGACTGGGCCACGATATGGGCAACCCACGGCTGCAAGAGCGTTCCGCTTCCGGACGGCGATGGGCAGTGGCCGCAGCTGCCTCCTATCGACGGAGACGACGTCCGCCAGGTACTGCTCAAGTTCGGCGAGGGCACCGCTGTGGGGCCGCAGCGGCTGGCGCCGCGGTCGCTGATCTGGCTGAGCAGCGATGGCCTCGAGACTATAGCCGCGCTTTTTATGAAGTGCGAGGCCCTCTGTATGTGGCCCGCTCAGCGTATCACCATTGAGCTGGTCAGGCTTCCAAAGGCCGACAAGCCAGATGAGCATCGCCTGATTGCGCTGCTGCACTCTCTCATCAGGGTTTGGGGGAGGGTGAGGCGTCCTGTGTCGGTGGATTGGGAGGCGGGGCACCAGTCGGACCTCCTCTGGGGCTCCGGCCCCGGGCGCAGCAGCGTGGATTGCGCCTTCTCTCACAATCTCGAGGCGGAGATCGCTCGAAACACTGGCCTTCACTGTGTCTGTGTTTTTATTGATACGATTAAATGCTGCGAGATGATATTGCACAGTGCCATCTTGCTTGAGGCTGCTGCGGTAGGATGTCCTTTAAGATTGGCTTGGATGCTCGTGTGTTTATACCAGCAGCCCCGCCTCATCAAGGGATTTAACAGTGTGAGTGCCCCCTACACGTCGTATCAGGGGATTCTGGCGGGGTGTTGCCATGCCACCACCTTGATGCAAGTCCTGCTTGTGAGGCCGCTCCAGAGACTCAAGCGCGAGTTTGAATGTATAGTGCCCCGAGGCCTCATGGATGATGTATCCTTCTAGTGGGTTGGAAAGGTGGCCGAACATGCGTGCATTGTCTTCAATGCTGTAGCTTGTTTTATTAGGTACA